GTTAGCACCAAGGGGATGTGCTAGCAAATATATTCTAGCAGCACAAAGGGTTTTGCTACGTGGGCACAAAGAGTAGTGCCTAGGGAGGAAGCCTAACTCGTCTTACGATGGACTGTAAGCGGGTGGCGCACGGTGCGTGACTAGGGCAAAGTAGTCAGCACGTGACAATGTGGTGAGATTGGGTAGGAAAGAAAGGGCATATAGGTTAGAATTGTATGTCTTCCTATGTGCATATTTTATTTATGTAAGGTGTTCAAGCATGTTGTATGATATTATGTATCTAAGTGAAAGCATGTTTATGTGTAATAACATAGATTGTATGATTGAACACCAAACTTAAATTTTTGTAGGGAACTATATACTCGATTGAAAAGGAATTTTTCTTTATTGAGTCATAACCCGAAATACCTTGCAGGATGTTTGATTTGCCTAGTATATTCACTACCACGGGTACTTTAGTAAAGAAGGACTATGAGCATGTGTGGGATTATATTCGCAGGATTCGCTTTTACTGTACTTATAGATCTGATGTGTTTGGGGAGCGTCATCTTAACCAACCAGACTATGTCTTTTCCATGATTGTTCATTGTTTGCCTAACTATCCTCCCTATGAGGCTATTAAGATTTGCTTTCGTTATTTTCATTTGCCTAATGGTGTAGCTAACAATACTAAGTATAAGGACTCTAATGGTCAATGGGGAGCAAATTGGAGATATTTATACCGTTATATTGCTCACAAAGAATTCATTTACCTTAACCCTCAGTATGCTTCTTATCCTCTTCCTTACCATAATTTTGGTGATCCAGCTCACAACAAAATGCACCTTACTATTCTTCAGAAAACGATGATCCCATATCTTAGTCACAACCTGAGCAAACTTATGAGAATCAAGGTGAGCCAATGGACCAAGATAATGAGTCTGGGGATACTTCATGCAAAGTCATTCCTAATCCAAATCCTCCAAGTCCTCCAGTAATCATTAACTTAGAATCGAATGAGTATGACAAAGACCCTGAGGAAGAAATGGATCCCGAGGAAGATGATGATGATGGTGGCAATGATGGTGATAATGGGAGTGATGCCGAGTATAATCCAAAGAAGTATAAGGAGATAAAAGATTGGTGGTGGCGTCGGTGGCTGTCGGAAGTGAGGGGAGGAGAAGATGGAGAGAGAAGCGTGGGAAAAAGAGAGGAAAAAAAGAAGAGAAAATAAGAGAAAACTTTTGGGGTTTTTGTGAAATATGACAATTATGATTTTTGAGTGAAAAACCTTGGGGGTTTTAAAGTATTTATACTCCTATTTTTAAAACAAAAACTCATAATTACAGATTGCCATTACTAAATCCTACTCCCCCTTAACTTCTTGCTTTGGGGCCAACTTGTTGGGCTCTTATGTGTCCTCAATTTTCCAACAAGTTGATCCAACTATTTAAATAAGGATGACCCAATTCAAAACACTTTTATTGCCTCAATTAATGACTCATACTATTTTATACACACTTACATAATATTTAAATAATTAATTTCTTTTAAAATGAAATAAATCATTTAAATTTATAAAAATAATTAAAATAGATAATTTATATATATAAAAATATTATAAAACTACGGAGTATTACAGTCTACCCCCTCTTAAAGAAGTTTCGTCCTTGAAACTTGAGCACAAAAATCATAAAACTTTGTTCAAAACTTATTTAAAACTGTACTTTTTCACTCACTTAATAAAAACTTTTCTTAATACTTATAATTTCTGTACTTTTTGTAACATTTCTTGATCTCTTTCTTTCTAAACTTTGTAAAAAATTGTGCAAAATATACTAAAAATGCACAAAAATGCTTGAAAAATAAGGTCAAAAGCGCGAAATTGTACCGCATTCTACCCTTCTTAAAGGAAACGAGTTACATCCCCGTAACGTAACTAACCTCAAAAAATTATGGGTACTTCTTTCTCATTTCATCCTCAGCTTCCCATGTCGCTTCCTCAGTTTCTTGATTCGACCACAATACCTTTACTATCTTGACATCTTTCTTGCGTGTACTACGCACTTACTATCAAGAATCCTTACAAGTCATTCCTCATAGGTTAGGCTTTGGTCTAGTTTTCTAGTTTCAAGTTGTAGGACATGCGAATTGTCTGGGATGTATCTTCTTAATTGAGAAACGTGAAACACATCGTGTACCTTGCTGAGGTCCATAGGCAATGCTAATATATAAGCAACATTTTCCTATTCTTTGCAAAGTCTCATATGGTCCAATGTACTTTGGACTTAACTTCCCTTTCTTCCCAAATGGCATCACTCCTTTTATTGGTGAAACCTTAAGCAAAACCTTATCACCAATTTGAAATTCCTCTTCTCTACGCTTTAAATCTGGGTAACTCTTTTGGCTATCTTGGGCAACTTGAATCTTAGCTTGGATTTCTCTTACTTGCTTTGTTGTCTTTTCTATCAATTGAGGACCTAGAATTATTGTCTCACTAATGTCACTCCAACATAGTGGACATCTACACTTCCTTCCATACAAGGCCTCAAATGGTGCCATGCCAATGCTTGCATGGTAACTATTATTGTAAGAGAATTCTACAAAGTCTAAGCTATCTACCCGTCCACCTTGATAATCTAAAACACATGATCTTAACATATCTTCCAAGGTTTGGATAGTCCTCTTAGATTGTCCATCTATTGCAAGGTGAAATGTTGTACTCATCTTCAATGTCGTACCAAAGTTCTCCTAAACACTTTTCCAGAATTTTGAAAGAAACCCAGAATCCCTATTTGAAATGATATCCTTAGGAACTCCATGTAGCCTCACAACATTTTTAATGTAAGCCTTTGCAAGTTGTTCCATTTTCCAAGTTTCCTTCATTGGTATAAACACTGCCGATTTTGTAAGTCTATCTTTGATGGTATCATTCCCATTCTTAGACTTAGGTAAACTAGTGACAAAATCCATCGAGATGCAATCCCACTTCCAAGCCGGGATCTCGAGTGGTTTTGCTATTCCCTCTGGTCTCTTATGCTCTATCTTAACTTTCTAACAGGTGAGACACTTGGCTACAAACTCTGCTACTTCCTTCTTCATCTTAGGCCACCAATACACCTTTTTCAAGTCCTTGTAAAGTTTATCTCCTCATGGATGTATTGAATAGGGTGTATTGTGCCCTTCTTCCATCAACTTCTTCTTCACCTCTTTACACTTTTTGTGGTACACACCACCTCCCCTTGGTTTGAATACTCCCATCATCATGGATTTTGAAATCAGTCGTCTTCCCTTGCTTAATCTTCTCCCTTATGCGATCTAATTTCACATCCCCTACTTGATTATCCTTAATCATATTAAATATCGTTGGTTGGATACTCAAATTATTAAGCATTCCTTTTAACATTCCATGTGGTACTACCTCGAGATTCAACTTACTCATTTCCTTACAAAGTTCATCTGCCACTACCAAAGCATTCACCCCATGAGTTGCTTTGCTACTCAAAGCATCCCCGACTACATTCTCTTTACCTTCATGGTATTGGATATCTATTTCATAGTCATTGAAGAATTCTAGCCACCTACATTATCTCATGTTCAAGGTTGATTGTGTGAAAAGATACTTCAAACTTTTATGGTCTGTGAATATCCTACATTTCACTTTATATAAATAATGTCTCTATATTTTCAATGTAAACACTATCGCTGCCAGTTCTAGATCATGAATAGGGTAGTTAACTTCATGTTTCTTCAATTGTCTCAATGCATAAGAAATCACCTTCCCATTTTGCATCAAAACACACCCAAGTCCGTTCTTAGATGCATCACTATATACATCATAAGAACCACTCCCATCAGGTAAAGTCAACACTGGTGCTGTAGTCAAACACTTCTTCAAGGTTTGAAATTCTTCTTCACACTTATCACTCCAAATGAACTTAGATTCTTTCTTCATCAACGAAGTCATAGGTCTAGCTATCTTTGAAAAATCCTTCACAAACTGCCTATAATATCCAGCTAGACCTAAGAAGCTTCGAATATTCGACACATTATTGGGTGTAGGCTACCCCTTCACAGCTTCAATTTTTGCAAGATCTACCTCCACTCCTTCTTAGATACAAAATGTCCCAAAAATGCTACCTTCTCCAGCTAAAAGTCACACTTCGAGAATTTGGCATACAACTGGTTAGTCCTTAAAGTAGCTAATACTGATCTCAAATGCTCTGCATGGTCCTCTTTATTCTTTGAATAAACCACAATGTCATCAATAAAAACCACAATGAATTGGTATAGGAAAGGTTGAAACATTGTATTCATCAACTCCATAAAAATTGCAGGTGCATTTGTTAACCCAAAAGGCATTACTGTAAACTCATAGTGTCCATATCTCGTCCTAAATGCCATTTTCGGAATGTCCTCTTCCACAATCCGTAGTTGATGATGGTATCCAGACCTCAAATTAATTTTAGAAAACACTGCTGCAACTTTTAATTGGTCAAACAAGTCATCCATCCTAGGTAAAGGGTATTTGTTCTTTATGGTTACCTTGTTTAACTCCCTATAATCGATGCATAGCCTCATGCTACCATCTTTCTTCTTCACAAACAATTCAGGAGCTCCCCATGGTGATGCACTTAGTCGTATGTATCCCTTCTCCAATAAATCCTGTAATTGACTTTTCAATTCACTCATCTCAGCAGGCGCCATCCTGTATGGTGCCTTAGATATAGAGGCTATTCTACTAATTCTATGGTAAAGTCTATGGTTCTTTTTGGCGGCATACTCGAAATCTTTTCTGGAAACACATCTAGAAACTCCCTTACTACTTCAATATCCTCTGGTTTAGATGGTTCCTCATACTCCAAGTTTCTCACACTACAGATTTAGATTGGGTTTCCCTTCTTCATATATTTTGCCAACTTCATCTCAGAATTGATCTTAGTATGCCTGGATTTTCCATGCCTCCAATGGGTTACGAGCTCTCCCTGATCCGTTTTCAAGTGGATTTTCAGTGACTGACATCAAATCTCAGCATGATAACGACATAACCAATCCATTCCAAGAATTATATCAAGGTCTCCTAGTTCAAATTCAATCAAGTTCGATAGGAATTCCTTACCTTTAATCTTTATAGGAACATCCTTGTAGACCCTAGTACAATGAACTATACTCCTAGTTGTAAGTTTTATAACAATATCTATGTCATGTACAGTTTTCAGACAATGCGATAGTTTTGGAAGCATAACTTTAGAAATGACAGAATATGTTGCACCAGAATCAAATAAAACTTTAAAAAGAACTGAGTTTATAGAAAATGTACCAGTAATGATATCTTTCGCTGCGTTAGCCTCACGCAAACCCATCACATTAAGTTATCTTGGTGTTCCACCCTTGACTTGTGTGTTACTACTATTGGTATTCTTATTTCCATTCTGAAATTGCGCCCCCATGTTCACTTGATTCCCATTGCTACCTTGACCTCCTTTCTGCTGATTCCAGTTCTGTCCATTACCCTTAATTGGTTGTTCCCTTGACCCCCTTTATTCTTAGGGAAACACTCATTTTCCCTGTGCCCTTGCTTGTTGCACAGGTTACAAGTGACTAAGTTACCCTCATAATCTTTCCCTGGGTAGTTGTTGGAACATCTCTTACAGTAATATATCCTTTGGTTACAATCCCCAGGCTGGTTTCTATTTCCCTTAGGAAAATTGCGCCCACCTTGGTTGTTCCTATTGTTCTAGAAGTTATTACCTTGGTGGTTGTTAAACTTTTGCTTCTTAAAGTTATTCTGGTTCCCAGATGGTCCAGAACTAGTCATAGGCTCCTTTCTTTTCTCCCTAGCTTCCAACTCAACCCTTTCAGCTTTTTCCTTCAACTCCAACGCATGTAGATGCGCTGCCCTACCATACAATCATCCATATTTATTAAACATTTGTCCTGACAACTTGCCTTGGAGAGAAAGAGGCAATCCCCTCTCAAACCTTCTAGCTTTATGCTTATCAGTAGTCACAATATCTTCAGCAAACCTAGACAGCTCGATAAACTTAGTGTAATACTCAGTCACCGACATACTCCCCATCTTAAGTTCCAGGAACTCATCAGCTTTCTACTTCTGCAAGAATATAGGGTAGAACTTATCCCTCACTTGTTCCTTGAACACATTCCATCCAAAGTTAGGTAATGCTCTCACAGTTTGTTCATTCTGCTGCCACCACAGATCTTCTTAACCCCTTAAGTAATAAGCTGCACTACTCCTTTGGACTCATTAGGACATGCTACTGCCACAAACAACTTGTCAAACTTTCTCAGCCAGTTTTCAAGGACAGTTGGGTTAGGTTCTCCCTGATAGGTAGGAGGTTTGCTTTGGGCTATCTTCTTAAACAACTCTTCAGCAGGGTTAGGATTGTTATTGTTATTCCTTCCAGCTAACTGCTGAGGTACAATAGCTAATTACATTACTACCTCATTCAGATCATTGTTATTATTGTTTCAACCTGCCATCCTAGTCCTCCTAAATAAAGAAATGACTACCATTAGGTTGGTCACAACTCTCTTGTAACTAGACAACAACCAAGCTACTTTAATCCAAACATACAAGCAGTCATTTTGAATTATAATGGAAGCAACTACTCATTTCTCCTACTAATAATTCAACACATTGTATTGGTTGTCATGTAACCATTTCACTTAAGTAAACACATCATAAAAATATTTTTGAGTCATTTCCCTTGATATCATTTACTGAAATTAAAAGTAACAAAGACATTTGATAAGCTTGTTTGAAGATGAAAATAAATATAAAAAGAAAACATTTCCCTTAAGTAAACACATCATAAAAATATTTTTGAGTCATTTCCCTTGATACCATTTACAGAAAATAAAAGTAACAAAGACATTTGATAAGCTTGTTTGAAGATGAAAATAAATATAAAAAGAAAAATAATTCTTTATTGAAATACTGAAAAGAAATGTTCGAAATATCCCAAATGTAGCTTTGCTACTTATTACTCACGCAGTACTTTATTAAACTCTAACTATAAGTAAAAAAGGAAATAAATACTTAAAGCACTAAAGAAAGTTAGTCGAAAATCTTCAAATGTTGACATTGTCCACCAGCGGCCAGCAACAGCTGCCGGCGACCATCCGCCGGCCACCCTCCTTCTCTCTCCTTTTGTTTTTGGTTCGGTATTGTTATTAAAAAAAACTCTTTTCTTTTCCTAATTTAATTCTAGTTATTTTTATTAATTTAAAGCATGATTTTGATTATGTTTTGGTATTGATTTTTGATATTTAATGTTGTTAAATTAATCCTATAATTTTAGATTTTTATTTAATCAAAAACCCTAATTTACAAACCCTAGAATATGGGAATTTATTGTTTATGGTTAGGGTTTGATCCTAGGTTGTTGTTGTTTAATTAATGGTTTAAACATGTTTTTAATGAGTTTAAAGCCCTCAAATTAATGCTGGAATTTAATTATATCCACTACTTTTTAATTATTATGTTAGGGTTTGATTACCCATAAAAGGGAAAAAGGTTTTAATGATTTAAATATGATTTCCTAGACTATTAGTGATGTTTTATATTAAATAAGTGTGCTGGAATTTTATTTAATCATAAAAACTAAGTCTTTTTTGAAAGGATTTAAAATACCCACTTAAAGAAAAGGTTTTATGACTATATGTCATTAAATTGGGTTAATTAGTAAGGTTTAAAGTGTATTATAGTTGCTGGATTGTGAGAATAGTGGATTAATTATAGTTATGTATTCTTATTTGTAGGAAGCTTTGTGCTAGGTGATTTCTAGTGAGTGTGGCTGAGTTTGGGCACTATTCAATGTATGTATGTGCACAAGAATGTTAGTGTATGCGTAGTATCATGCTAGGATTGTAAAGTATGATTTAAGTGATGAATTAGTAGCATTTTTGGTTGATTATATGCTTGGAATTGATGTTGGTTCAGCATGAATTGTTATGAAAGCATGTGGATATGTTATTTGAGGCATGATACAAGTTTAATATGTATGAATCATGGAAGTATATTTTATTTTCAAGTATTAAGAAAGCATGAATTTAAATAAGCAAGGCTTATGTATGTTTAAAAGAGCTAAAATTAGAATTATTGAGCATGATTCATGAATTTATATCTCACCCATTTATTATTGGTGTTGAGTCAAGAAGTTAATTTATTTATTTAGTCTCTCATGTAAGTTGAATTCGAGTCAAGGAAGTTTAGTAGTGCATTTTATGCACCAAGGTAGTAATCATGCAATTTTGTGCACAAAACTAGGCAAGGAACCTGAATTACAATAAATAGTATGTGCTCACTAATTAATTCAAGAATGAATTGGAAGTATGTGTTGATTGTTGTGATGTTTATTATTGATTGATTGGTTGGAGTCACCACAAGTTAAATTGGTAAATCACGTAAAGTGGAAGATGATACGCACCAAAACTCTTGGAACTTATATATATACTTGGAGTATAAACATATGGGGGGAGTTATAGGGTTTTATATTTTACCATAACTTCTACAGGGGTACAGGACGCTGTACTTTCTTTAATTATTATTGCACTGGAATTTCGTCACAAGTGTGACATAGTAGGTGCCAATTGGGGTAGCTCCCTAATTGGAAGCTCCATGTTTAATGGGCTATTTTTAAAGGAAGGAAACCCGTTTGATGTGTAATCCAATGCTATTATTTAATAATTAATATTGGTAGTAATGAGTCAAAGGTAAGTTGATTTTTGATTGTATGTCGAGCATGATTTAATTATTTTATTTGATGCTAGGATATTCATGTTAGTGTGGTGCATATGTACTCAGCTTTTGCTGATTCGCACTTTTGTGTTTGTGTCTGACTTTACTTTGGATTGGCCCTACTATGAACCATTTATATGGTGAGTAGAGGGGTTGAAATAAAGTGAAAGTAACAGGTACTTGAAGCATGAAGAGCATGATGGGAAAGAGTGCAGAGAGCTACTTGTTATGTTTCTTAGTTTTAATATTTTTGAATTATTGGTTTGTTTATGAACTAACATTATTGTGTTTATTTTTAATTGGTTTTTAAGAAGGGCCATGTTTAAATCGGTTCCAAATTGTGAATGTTTTATTCTACTTTTGTTTTAAGGTTGTGAACTCAAGTTTTATTTTAAAAGTTGGTTTTTATTTTAGACTTCTGCTGCGTGACTTTGAAAATTATCCTTAGTCATTATCAAGGTGGCGGTAATATTTTGGTTATTTCCTAAAAAGGGTTTTATTTAGAGTAAAATGAGAATTTTAAAAGAATGAAATTTCCAGGTATTACACTAGGTTAACAAGAATTTCAAATGCGATTCCTCTACTTGGTCCACAGGCTAGGATGGAAAAATGGAATAAATAATCCCACCTTTGCGTGATCTGACAATAACAATCCCACCTTTTGATTATTACGAGGCAATCCCACCTTGGTATGTCATCTTCTTTTAATGGACCTTGACCTGTTTGTGACCGAACTTTGTAGGTTATATGCCACGTGTCAAATCTCAATAGGTTCATTTCATTTTTTTTAATGATAAAATAAAAGAAAAAAAAAAACAGAAAACAAAATTAAAAAAGGGAAAAAAACCACAGCCACCAACCCCCACCGTGAAACCCTAGCCCCTACCCCAGCCACCACAAAAACTGGCCGACCGCCCTCCTTAACCTTCAAAAACGGCCGACCGGCACCCGCCTACCAGGTAAACAGTGGAGTTTTCGCGGGTGTGTCGGGTTTTTAGGGTGTTGAAGGCGGGTTTCGAGGCTGAGAAGGGATTTCAAGTTGGTTAGGGAGGTCGGGTAGGGTTTTTCGGGGTTGGGATGGATGTTTCGGGGGTTTACGACGGTTTTTGGTGCGCGGTTAGAAGGGGTTTTCGGCGACTGGATAGGGTTTTCAGGGTGGTGGCTGTGGTGGTTACGGTGGTTTCGGGGGTGGCATTTGTGTTAGGGGGTTGGGGTGGATTTTGGTCGACGGGTGGTTTTTGGTATTAGGGGGTTCCGGCCGGCTGTTTTCGGGGGTGTAGGGTGGCAATTGGCTGGTTTTTGGAGGGGCTAGGTTAAGGGTTAGATTTTCACGGTGGGTGGTGGAATTTTTTTAAATTTTTTTTTTTTTACCTATTTTTGTTTTTGATTTTAACTTTTTTCTTATTTTTTTTTTATTTTGACCAATTATTGAGTGACACGTGGCTTTGAAAACGTAAATAAACTTTTTTACCTGTTTAATAGGTTGTAGGTAAAAAGGTCCATTAAAAGAAGATGACATACCAAGGTGGGATTGCCTTGTAATAAACAAAAGGTGGGATTGTTATTGTCACACCATGCAAAGGTGGGATTTTCATTTTTCCG